CTGAAGAAGGGTCTCGACCCGAAACGTCAGCTTTCCTGCTCCTCTGATGCTGCTTGGCCTACTGCGTTCATCCGGCTCTACACCATGTTATTACAATATCTAGACTTGCTTTTTTTAAAAGAAGTGCTGTCTTCTCAACGTCTGACCTGTTATGCAAACTGTTGTGGTTTTTGATGTCCCTCTGTAAAGAGAAACATCCTAAAGCCAAGCAAACATTTGCATTCATATCCTTCAAGCTATATTTCTTTACTTTATTCTTTCACGAAATGTAGAGTTACTGAGAATGCCGGCATTTATTGTCTATCCCTAGTTTCCTTTGAACCAATTGGCTTACTTGCTCATTGCAGAAGGCAGTTGAGAATCGGCTACACTGCTATGGATCTGACGTCACGTGGGTAAAGATGGCAAATATTCTTCCCTAAAGGGCATCAGAGAGCCAGATGGGTTTAAAGCAATTAGTAGTTTCAAGGTTACCATTACTGCCACTAGCTTTCAATTCCAGATTTATTCATTGGGTTTTAAATGCTGCCAGTTACTGTAATGGATGCTCATGACCCCAGAGCATTACCCTGGGCTTGTGGATTACCACTACACCATCCTGTTCCCCCTATACTTGTGTTTTGCACTTACATTTAATTTCCTCATGAAGTTTAATACCTTTATTCAGACAATACGACTCTGTCAGAGTGCTGTCTTTGGATGAGATGCTAAACTGAGGCTGTGCTGGCCCTTCCTTGTGTGGATTGAAAAGATCCTATGGCATATTTCAAAGCTGGGGATGTTGATCTCTACATTTTCCAAACGGCTCTGGAAAGACTGACAAGTCAAATTTTTTTTTGGTTATGGCTGAAGCAGCATTAATAAAACACTCTTAAAAGATCTTAAAGCACTCCTAAAAGGCCCTTAAAACATGCCATGGTGCTGTTTCGAAGAACAACAAACTGGAGATAAACTCTCCCTGGTGTCCTGGCTGCTGTTCCTCAATCAAATTAGCTGGTTACTATCATGTTACTGTTTGTGGGAGTTACCTGCATGCAAATTGACTGCCATGTTTCGTGAACTACACCATTCAAAACACATTCCAACGTTTCAAAATATATTTCAGTGGTTGGAAAACACTTTAGAAAATCCTGAGGTCATAAAAAGTAATTTTTTAAAATCAAAATGTTTCTTTCTTCATGCTTGCATGTCTTTTTTTATTATTAATGTTTTTTTTCTTTTTCCTGCAGAATCTAAATCTGAAACTTCGAGAAGCTGAGCAGCAACGACTGAGACAGGAGGAGCTTGAGCGTCAGAAACAGGCAGAAAGCCGGGAACGAGTACGGAAGCTGAACTGCATTCAGGCAGAGGTGTTGCATTTGAATATGCAGATTGAGCCATACTTCAAGCAAAAGGAGCTGGTGGGGCTGGACCTTTCAGGATACAGTAACCGCGGCAATCAGCTGTGTAGCCTGGTGTCAGGAGTGATTAAGCTCACATCAGAGGTGTGTGCATTGCATGAATGAGTTTGACATTAAAATTTTATCTGAGTCATATCCTAAATAAGAGGGAAGTGGAGTTGTATGGTGCAGGAGGATCCCAGATTATATCAGCCAGCCTTTGCTGAGTTAAATGATTCCCAGCAGATCTCTACTCTCCTCCAACTGTTGCCTTTTGCTCATCTCTGGTTTTAACAATTCTGTTGATGACTCTGCTACAGCTGTCTTGATTGAATGCACTGGAGTACCCTCCCAAAACTACTCTGCAACCCCTGCCTCCTTTAAGAGATTCCATAAGGTTATTGATTACCCATTCTTTATGCAGTTTTAAAGTTTGTTTGATTATTTTCCTAAGTACCTTGCGGCATAGCTAAGAGAAATTGTCCCGGTGGTATACTCAATTGTAATGAATATATAAAGCGTGAAGACTGTTGTGATGCTTTGGTAATCTCTTTACGGGTCTGGGTTCAATTCCCCCCTGTCCAGACATGTATTATAACATGTCTGAACAGGTTGATTTAAAACTATATGTAATATATATGTATGCGAGTGTATACACCTGATGTTAATTACGCTTGGCTGTGATTCTTTCTAACTACTCTCCTCTTCCCCACCACCATTCACTGACCAGTTGACATTCAATTTTCAGTCTTTGCTGAAAATAGTTACTAGAAACTTCCCAGTGTCCATGGAAACCTAACTTAGAATGGAGTCAGCATCTGAGAATCAGGAAGGGAGAAAACTAGCTTTTCTCTGTATTTTGGCATGAAGCCTCTTAGCCAAACTCAGACACTGACTCGATTCAGAAGTGTTGGTTTCCTTGTTTGTTGGTTCTCACAGTGCTTTACATAATGTCTTTAGTGTACTTAATTATCCCATGGCATTTCACAGCAGAATACTAAACAAATCTTGACTTTGCGCCACATAAGGAGCCATTGAAATGGTTTGAGAGAGAGAACTTCAGAAATACCTTGAATTTAATTTGTTGTGAAAGGAAGGATTTTGATTGGTAGTTTTATTTTAATGCCGATTTTATTTGGACTGATTTTTTTGAGGATGGGAGGAGTAGGAGCACAAGCAGCTGTTCTACATCAGATTCATCTTTTGTATAAACGTAATAGTTATTATACTGCTTTCTAGGAATGTCAGAATAGGCCAGTCAGCCCTTTGAGCCAATTCTGGCATTCAATTAAATTGCAGTTGGTTGGTATCTTGATTTCTATTCACCAACCATGGTACATCAATGTTTAATACCCTGCCTGACTCCTAACACACACCTCCCAGTGAAGTGGAAAGATTAAGCCTAGTGCAGAAGTGTACAGCGCCTGGTTCTGTTTGGCTGAATTCACTTTTAGTTTTGCAATCCAAAAGTGAATTTTAAACAAATTGTGTTTTAAATGTAAACAATTACGCGTACAAAGTTCAGAGTTTGGTTCAACTCTGCCCTTTTTGCCCCCCTCCCACCATAAGTTGTGTTTGCATGGGTTTGCTATCAGAGTTGTGTTTTTCTGTTATTAATACCTATCAATAGTACCTACTATGCATCCATAGCCCTTCTCTACTATTATTAGCACTCACTCTGTATTTTGATCTGGGGCACCTTCGCCATCTATTAAATTTCTTCCTCCTCTACAACTTTTTCTCCAGCATAAAGCCCACCACATTTCCAGCTCCCTTCAGTTCCAAAGAAGAGTTATGTTGAACTCGAAATGCTGTCAGACCTGCTGAATCAAGCCAATACTTTGTTTATATTTCAGATTCCAGCATCCATAGTATTTTGCTTTTATTCATCAGACTGTTACTAGGGCTAAAAGGATTAAATTATGAGGACAGGTTACGAAGACCTAAGGTTTTAATCCCTTGAGGGCAGACTATTTGGAGGTGACTTGATTAAGGTGTAGATTGAGGAGTTGCTGATCGATAGAGAGAAAGCATTTCTTCCAGTGGGGGAATCCAGAACAAGGGAGCATAGCTTTAAAATTAGAACTAGGTTGTACAGCGATGATATCTGGAAGCACTTCTTCACGGAAAGCATTAAAAATCTGAAATCCTCTACCTCCAAAAATCTGTTGAAGTTGAAGATCAGTTGAACATTTCAAAACTTTAATTCTTAGGTCTTTGTAGAGTTGGGGAATTGAGCTACAAAATTAAGCTATCGAGGAAGATGGCAAAACAGGCTTGAGCTGAATCCATGTTCCTTTTGAAGTTTTTTCACTGCATGGGCTGCTTAAATGGATTTCTGTGGGGGTGCACACCTTTGTCCAGAGCAAGGCCTCTGCAGTACCCCTTAGGTTACTGTGCACCACATAAATTATTGGAAATGTTGGGCTGAATGATTTCTTTTGATTTCAAGAAAACAAATTCCTCTGGGCAGGTGCCCGTATGCAGATTTTTGGTGAAAGCTCAGTTCATTTTGCCTGAGTAACCTGCTGATGCACTGAAGTGATACTGATGAAGATCAATGATTTGCATGAAGAAGGGCTGCCACTACCCTTTGAGCAAAGAAGTTAAGATGGGAGCAGGAGTAGACTGTATTACCTGTTGAGCCTGCTCTGTCATTCAGAACAAGTACTGTTGCATTTTGATCCTTTATCTTTCCCAAATCACTTTTATTCCTGTGTAGGGTGGAGTGCCACTTCAGGAGGACATTCTGAATGCGGAGAGAGCTTTGATGCAAATGCGAGAGCTGATCGCTGACATGCATGAGAAAATTGCTGCAGCAGCTGCTGAGAAGAAGAGGATAAAGGAGGAAGAGGAGAAAGCACTTCAGAAAAAGCAAGAAGTCAAAGCTGAAGTAGAAAAGCCAGTGCCACAAGAGAAAACCACTCGTAAAGAAGGTATTTGTGAGGGTGTAAGGCCAATGTGAAATCTGTTTAATAATGAAGTGTGGCATTCCAGAGAGGGCAGGAGTGGAAAACATCATACCTGATAGTCTTTAGAGGCTGTAACCAGGGAAAGGGAAAATTGCCATTGTCCCAGAGGACTGTAAGACTGTTATCGCATTAGAGGGAGATAACTGGTAGTGAGTTTAACCTGAGGGGTCAGGTTGAGAAGATTGGACCTTCATGGTAGCCTTAGCTGGTGTGGGTCTTAAACCCTATTGTTGATATTACTCTGCATTGCAAACCAGCCATTCAGCCAACTGACCTAACTGACCCCTGGATGCATTGTTGAAGCAACTCTTGCATCTGTCCTGGAATGTGCTCGATGTTGGCTATGGATCATAGAATTGGTTCTTCTTCACCAACATCCCTCAACCTCAGTGCGGGAAGGAGAAAGTGAATACACATTCTGGTTCAGTGTAAGAGTACAGCTGATTACACAGCCCAGGAATAATTCGACTGTCCACAGGGGCTGCTGCATCTGAAATGAAAGCAATTAGTCTTTTCACTTGCTGTTTTTGGAACAAACTTTCCCTTCCTCATTGGAGTCCACATACGTCAGGTCTTCAGTTTGAAATCTGAAATCGTTCTGTTGTGTTTGGATCTTTCTTTATTTAACACCTGCAGAGTTTTTTTTTTTTACAGTGCACTTTCATCAGTAAAAGTGACTATGAAGTTATCAGATTGTCATTTTAAAAACCATAGTGTTTCCTGCCAACTGGTAGATTTGTGTGGATATGTTACGAAGTTAATGATCCAGAGGCTGAATTTATATTCGGTTTCAAATATTTGCATTGAGCAGAATCTCTCTTAGAAGGTGGGCTTAGGAGATGGTGACACTGTTTTGAAGAAGAGTAGTGGTGTTATTCTTGGCGTCCTAGCCGGTATATATCTCTGAACTAAAAACAGGTTGTCAAGCCACATTGCTGTTGTTGGAGCTTGCTGTGCACATATTAGCTGCTGAGTTTTCAACATTGCAACAGTGTCTACATTTCAAAAAATGCTCCACTGCTTGTAAAGTTCTTTGAGATGTCTAGCGGTCGTGAAAAGTGCTATGTAAATGCCAATCTTTTTCAGATTTTAAACTGACTTTGAAATTTGCTGAACTTTGATAAGTTCTAGATGAACATTTTTTGTAATTAAATGACAGGGCTACAGATAAAAGCAGATGCAAGCAGTATGCAGTGGTATCAACATTTGCAGGATATTTGTGACCAATGTGCAGCATCCATTAACGATCTTAACAACAGTAAGGATTCTAAGGTAAAATAAACCAAATACTTCAGTTTTGAATTGTAATGAGTTTTTGATCGCAATTTACTCTCTGGTAACATGGTTAGCACTGTTTAGATTTTGTAATAAAAGGGATATCATTCTCTGCATTTGAAATTTTCAGTTGACTCCCAGCAGTGTTTTGGGCAAAGTGTTCCAGCAATCTAAGACAACAAGGTGCAGGGCTGGATGAACACAGCAGGCCAAGCAGCATCATCATAGGAGCATGCTGCTATGCTGCTGCTTGGCCTGCTGTGTTCATCCAGCCCTGCAC